CACAAAGCTAGAAGAACCTATTGCCGAAGAAACACCATCACAAGATGAAGAGGAGGGTGTATCTGATGTGGAGAGTGAAAGGAGCCAGGAGCAGCCAGATAAAACAGTGGATATAAGTGATTTGGCCACCAAGCTCCTGGACAGTTGGAAAGATTTAAAGGTAAGAAAACAATTTTTATTCATTTTAACTTGAATTTATCAAATTTAGAATTCAACAGCCCTAAGTTTAAATACATAGTTCTCTAGTAATATGTATTTCTGAAAAATAGCCATTTAGTGTCCTTTGATTCTACATTCACACATCCTTTCATCCTTCACAAGAGTCCTACTAAGCCACGCTTATACAAATGGATCCTTTTTTTACTCAGAAAATGTGTTACAATAATTACTTTAGATGTACAGGTTCTCTTCATGCCAAAATTAAAAAAAAATTTTAAGTAGAACTCTGGTGGCCTAGTGGCAAGAATTTGTGCTGCAATCCCAAAGGTGAACGGTTTGAATCCACCAGAGGCTCTGCTGGAGGAGGGGCAGTCTCCTGTGCCAGTCAGATACGATCCGAAGGTACACACACACAAAAATAATAAAACGTGTTTTTTTTTAAGTAACAAACTTAAGATTCTGTTCTGTACTGGAAATAAACCATTAAGGAATAAAGTTAATTAACAACTCATTTAAAAGAATAATTGAAAGTTTCTAGTCTAGAAAAGCAACTTACAAAATTGTGGATATTGTTACTATTTCTTTCATAAGCTACTTTTAAAATGTTCATTTCTTTGGAAGATATTCTACTTCCTTGATGTTTTCTAAAAAAAGAAAAAAATAAGAGTTCTGGAACCCTTATTACTAATGCATATATAACTTATGATTAAAAATTATACTTAGAAATGCATACTTGGCTTTGTTTCAAATCCAGTCTGGGTTAAATCCAGGAGTGAATAACAAGGAGAAGTGGTGCATTTCTACCATCTGTAATCTGAACTTGGGATACTGGTCGTGAGCGCCTTATTTGAAAAGGGTTTTCTTTTGGCTTTTATTTTCGGCTTCTCCTTTCTTCTGCCGGAAGTCCAACAGCCATATCTCCTGTTCCTGTAGGATGAACCCTTGAACAACCTCTACCCTCAGTTATGACCACAAAAGTCAGTCATACTGTTAGATGATGAGATTTGACTGAGATGGTACTGACCTTACATGGAACAAAATGAATAGTTGATGGTGTGTGCAGTATGCTTGCTTCCAACATTTGTAATTTGCTGTGTTGAGAGTCTTCTTTAAGTTTGGTGTGGTTTCAACTCTGGTTTTCCTATTGCTACATTTTCATGTTACGTCCAGTTAGCATAACTCAACCACATTATATTTTATTAAGCCTAGATTTTTTTATAAATGTAAGGAGAAAGAGTATATTTATGATACAAATTATGTAAAACCTAAGGATCAGAATTACAGTACTTGGGGAAATACTGTGGCAATCACCTGGTGAACCACATTTCACCTAGGGCTTGCTGTTTGAGTGCTCAGGAGTCCCTGGAAGAAGGCCCTGCATGTTTGGAGGGTGATGGGAGTGAGTGCCTGACAATGGCTCAGTAAGGAAAGTAAAACCAGAGGCATTTATATTGGTAGACATGGAAAAGCCATGATTTTATAAAGGGAAAATGGGATTGGAGAACTCAGATCAGTTTTGTGTTTAACAGAAAATTCTGTTAACATTCATTTTTAAAATGTGAAAAATATATAATTATCTTAATCTCTGAAAGATAGTAAGTTCATAGGATGACTATGAGTCATACTCGACAGGACCTAACAACTACTAACCATCTCTGAAAACCCTGTGTGTTTATTATCTAGATAAGTTTTAAAATTTAAAAAAAAAATGGTATTTTCTATGACTGTAATGGTATGAGTTACTCGCTTGAGATATATATAAGCCAAATTATTTCTTCCCCTTCTTATTCTTCCCATTCTTTCTAAAAGATCAGAGCAGTGTCACAGTACTCTGTAGCTTGATGATGCTTTTGACTTGGAGTTTAAAGGTTTTTTACACTTAAATTACTCATTTCTTCGTCAAACTTTACTTTGCTCTGGAATCATTATACATATAGCACTGCATTCCTGAAAAATACCTTTGACTGTATACTTTGATTTTTGTTACACATTGGTGCTGAGGTTTTTTAAATCATGTGTCATTCTGGTTAACATTTACCATGACTCTGATGTGGAAAAAGTTAGGTGGCATTTATCCAGAAGTTAGGTAGCATTTATCCAGAAGTCTGAAACCCAGATCCCATAATTTGAATACGTTTTAGAGAAACACATTGATCTGATGTGGTTACTATATATTCACACTGTCCCGGCATTGAATGAGTTAACTACTTCTGTCTGATTTTTCACCTATATATTGAGTCAAATAAACACTGGCTGAAAAGAAAATTACTTAGTCAACCAACCTTTTGCTATGCTGTATGTTAGTTTCTTGTCTTTAATTCCAGGATCTTTTTTAAAAAAATGGTTAAGTTAAAAAAAGAAAATCTGGGAGCTCTGGTGGCCTAGTGGCAAGGAGCTGCAACTACAATCCCAGAGGCGAACGGTTTGAATCCACCAGATGCTCTGCTGGGGAAGGAGGGACAATCTCCTCCTGTACCAGTCAGATCTGATTTGACGGTACACGCACACAAAAATAAAAATAATAAAGAAAATCTAAAATTATGCCTGTTAGCCACTTGAGATCTTCTTGATACGAGACCACCATAATGTTGTGAAATATGTATTCTACTTGGCCTTTCTGCTCACTGGAGTGATGAATTAAGAGGTTTAATAATCTTGGGTTTGCTGTGAAGGCATACAGTAGGCATCATTAGTAAATGAAGGAAGGTGGGAGGGAAGGGTAGAGCTTCGTGAATTACTCTTTGTCCTCCAAGATCTGGTGATGATCTCCCTTGTAACTTGAACCATTTCCATCTAGCTTCTCAGGGCAGCAAGGAGCTTGTTAACATCACCAGCTGACCATGTGTCTCCTTTTCTCAACTCCATTTTCAACTTCGTGCTGAAGAAAAACAAGAACCTAGCGTGCATTCTGTGAAGAAACAGGAAGATGGTTGGGGAAGCTGGATGATGCATGAAAAATATGATAGGTGAAAAGAGGAGAGAGGTGGTTAACTCACTGGCGCCGGCATTATTTTGGTGGTGCGTCCATTGCCGACAATGGATGTCCTTCTGGGGAAAAATCCCGACTCCAGGCGAGAAAGACTTAAGTGAGCTACTTTTTCTATACCTATATACACAGGACCACTGCCGTGGCTCCTCCACAAGGCTTACATGTTTTGACTCCTGAAATAGACATCAACAATGAGCACTACCTAATACATCGCTTCACATGATCATGTATTCATATTCATGAGTAAGTTTTACAGGTACATATTCATCATAGACATGTGTGTATATTTTTGTTTGCAAAAGAAATTGTTGTACACCACCATCCCTTATACTGAAAATATACCTCAGACTTCACAGGGCAAAATACTGGGTTACAAGTGAGAATTAATTGTAAGATGACTGGAAGTATCTTCATTCATTTGGATCATGAGAAGAAGAGGTAAGGTTCTCATTAAATTGGCAGCCTTAAATGCCACTAAACACCACAAAGTGGTTATATGGCTAGTGATTCCAGAGCTGCTCTTATGAACACTTGGCAGATATATGCATCTTTGTTTTTAATGGAGTCTGAGTGGTTTCCATTTAACCTACATCCAATGATTTAGTAGACATTCCTTAAGTGTAGTAAATTAAGCTCTACTCAGTGATAACTATTTTCTGATTTCATCTTTATCTCAAGATATTATTCTTAATTAAACATGATTTGTCTAGTAGAAATTTCACTCATGAATAAATAGAATAAAGCATAATTACCTAACTAAGAAGTTTTGAGCCACTGCTTAGACTTTTAGTTCCTCACTAATTAATACTCTGTGAAATCTGCTACATAGTATTTCAAGATAAAAGTTAGCTTTCTTGGGTTTCCATGATTAGTTTCCAAATCCACAATAGATTAATATAGGATTACTCTGTATCTATAGTCTCCATAGGAGCATTGCTTTTTTAAAAAAATTTAAAATTCAGAATTATTCACAAGGCAGGTAGGAATCTGGGTAGCTCAGTTGTTAGAGCATTGGGCTTTTAATCAGAATTGTTCCCAAAGGAAGTTGGGTTAAATAATGATACATTGAAGTTTTTGAAGTATTTTCTTCAAAATTAGTATCTCGCCTGCCAAAAGGCAAAAGTTACTAGTGTCCTTTTTTTTTTTAATGTATTTTTAAATTTTTATTATTTTTGTGTGTGTGTACTGTCAAATTGGATCTGACTGGTATAGGAGAAGATTGTCCCTCCGTCTCCAGCAGAGCCTCTGGTAGATTTTAAAGTGTATTTTAAATGTTTATTCTTTTAAAAATTTTGTTATTATACTTTATTTCAGTAATTAAACTTTTGTTGTTGTTGTGTACCATTGAATTGGATCTGACTGGCACAGGAAGTTGCCTCACCGAGCGTATGATGAATTCAGACTACACGCCTTCAGGATTGCAGTGCAGCTTCTTGCCACTAGGCCACCAGAGCTCCTAGTATTCGGTTTTATTATTATTGAATAAATATTTTCATGTAAAGCAGAGGAGAAAAGTCATCCGAACAACAGCCAGTTTTCATACAAAAGTTGTATTGGAAGATAGCCACATGTTGTTTGTGGCTATTTTTGTACTACAGTAGCAAAGTTGAGTAGTTTTGATGGAGACTTGATGGCTCACAATGCCTAAGATAATTTGCTGTGTTGCATTTTATAAAAGTTTTCCACTACCTGATCTAAAATATTAAACACAGAACCTGGCTGCTCTAAACATTTTGATTTTGAATATCATTATTTTGACACTTACCTCTCTTGGGTGAGCTCTAGTGGTAAGGAGCTGCGCTGCCAACAAGATGGCACTTGGTTCATTCTACCAGATGCTCTGCGGAAGAAAGGTGGACAGTCTCTTCCCTAGTGATTTACTGTCTGAAAACCTGCTGGATGGTCAGCTATGGGTTGGTTCCAACTGGACGGCCCATAACAACGAACAACTAAGACATGAGAGGAAGCTCTGGTGACATAGTCCATAGAAACTTGTGCTCTTAATCCAAAGG